TTTTAAATTTCTGGCAGAATTAAAAAATTTTTGACTTTAGACTTATATAACTATATTCAAGCACCCATCTCTATAGATGCACATCAAAAGTATCCAAAAATAGATGAAAAAACAAAAAATAACAATTGGCAGCTCCTAAAAAAAATGTTTTAGAGGGCACCAATATAAAATATATACCTGCCCTCAAAATTCAGGATTTCACTTTAGATTTTTTTGTGTCAATTTTGTGTTCTTAGGCTGCGTTCAGATAGCGAAGTAAATGTCACAGAGACATAATCACAAGGAATAAAATGTGGGAATTCCATTCACACCTGCAGCACAGAGTCTAAGCCTTCACACTTAGAGAAACTAAATTTTTGCATGCATGGATGTGTCTACAGCTTTCCCATTCAGATTTCATGCATTGGCTCTGATTGGTCGACGCTTATCCCAAGTCAGCATAAAGTTGGAAACTTGGAACTTTATGCCAAAAGCCCTAAACCAGATTTGTGGTATAGCACAAACTGGTTGCCTGGCAATTCAGCTTGCCTTAAACCACTTATGCCCTTTATACTGTCGTATGAACTCAGCTTTAGGTTCCATAAGTTACAATTAATGCAAAATTTTACCACAATTTAAATTATTTTATAGACCACCCCTCAAAGGGTAAGGGGTCGAGACCACGCAATCTAGACGTTAGTGGGTAATGACTCTCATTAACGCGAGAGGTACTTTTCCATTTTGCCGGCGCATATGATAAAGTCGCCAATAATGGTACACCTGATGCCAAACAGAATATCCTAGCTGGTAACCTTTTACGCCTCATTTTCAAAACAAGTCTCAGCCATTTCTTATCAGATTGATTGTTTCTTTCAATACTGGCATACAATTACATGGAATTTTTACCAGATAGTTCAATTTTATGCTTTAAGGTCATTTGTAGTAATTAAGTCAATTAGGATGCAATCACACCGCTCACTCGAAGGCAGAGTCAAGGGTTAAATTCCTCAATTCTACTGAGAGAATATAGAAAAGGCAAAGTTAATGGTTAAATTCATCAATGTCTTTTTAATGTCTTTTACAAATTTACAGTCTTTATTTATTGGCTTTTTACAAAATTTTAAACAATATTAAAATGTTTATGCCTTCAAATTAAAGAATTCTTAGAACTAACATTTTTTATGTGTATACTGTATGTTGTCACCAAATAAAGTCTGCTTGGTGAGATTTGCGCCGGTGAAACGGAAAAGTACCGCATGAGAAAAAACTCATTAGTGTTTCATCAAAAGCCTTACACTGGTTCCAGTGAAGCAAGAGATTTATTGCCAATTAGAAAGTGAATGTATATAGGAGGAGAATTTAAAATGCCTGTTTCAGAGCAGTTTAAGGAGAGCCAAAGGGTTTTATAAAAAAAGCTTTTATGTAAATGCCATAAAATCATTTATGAATTAAAAAGAGAAAAATAATTTATCATATAGTTCCCCACTGTATCTGATAATTCAGATAGTGAAATGATGAGAGTTTTAGTTTATTCATTAAGCAAAAATATATGAGAAAAATCATTTCAACATTAAATTAAAAAAAAAAAAAAAAAAAAAAAAAAAAAAAAAACCTAACTCAAGTTTTGAAAAAAAAAAATCACTTTACTACATTGTATGCCCATCAGCAATTAGTGTGTGTACAAAATTTGAACTTGATAGCTTATCAGGTACAGGTAAAAATAGGCGGGACACTAGAAATTCATCATTATAATGCCTTCACACTAACTGTACAGTTCTACCCCAATTTTGAGAGAGGACACCCTGGCAGTCCGAGGGTGTCATTAAAATTAAACCTTACACTGGTGTTCCACTGTAAGGCTAGTCTGAGGGTGTCCCACCCCTCTTCCCTTACATCAACCTCTCCAGAGGACTTTTGGCTTACTATGTATTTTGTGTGTCCCCTTAGACACTGTACACTTAAAAATATCCATGCCTTCTCCTTGCCCATCAGCATGGCAGTCAACAACCCCATACCAGTTGGACAGCTTCGATACCTAATTAGGAAATAATTTAAAAACCAATCACAAAATTTGACCTTAAGGACAGAAGAACTTTTGCATATTTTTAATTATTTGAGTTACATATAATTATCCCAGTAAAATAAAAACAATGAATCATGATCTTTTCTGCATGAGGTCTGTGTAATGATGTTTATAATCTCAAAATCAAAGTGGGAAAACAGGTTGCTGAAGCCACGGAACAATCATAACTCTTGTCAGTATCTATTTTCAGCGAGAGAATAGATTAACAGCATAGAATTTTGGTGATTTTTTCTATGTGTAAACTAAATTTACACCCAGGCAGGCTGTAATCTATTTGGCATCTTTTCCCCAAAACTGAAACTAGCAAATTTAAAGCAGAACATTTTACAAAAGATGCTTTTTGATGTTTTAAAAAAATTTTGATTATTTGCACGGCACTTTTGTGCATTCTTCACACTGAACAGCCACCCTACCTCATTCCCTTTTTGCCATCTAAATTAACCCAAATGTAAACTGAAATAAAAATAAGCACATTGAAGAATGTAGGGAAATAAGCAATGTGTTACGAATGTTTTGTTTCCTCGTTTTTTTAAAAATTAAAGTACAGTCAAAAGTCATTAATCCGGACTCGTCGGGACTTCGGCGATTCCGGATTATCGATTTTTTCCGGATTATAGATCATCAGTTTAAATCTCATAAGATGGCATGCAGAAATTCTAAAATTAAAAATATGAAACCTTAATTTATGAAATAAAGAACAATTATGATCTAAAGAGTATCAAAATTTACACACACACACACACAAAAAAAAAAAAAAAAAAAAAAAAAAAAGCTTAATATTTATTTGTTTACTTTATTAAACATTTCTTTCAATGTTTATGTGATAATACTTTCTCTTTAATTCTATAAACAGACATTGTTCAGTTACAAAGTTCCGCTGTTCAAGTCCCAATAATTGCTGTGCCGAGAATACCGAATAACTTGTCAATCGAAATTTTTTCGTTTTCACTAACCTCTCTGTCACATTCTTCATGTCTTTATCCATTTTTTGCAGCAATTCCACTTTTTGTTTGTTGGACTTCGAAACACGCTTTCGTTTTGTAGATCCTTTGGAAGTTCCAGCATCGGAAATTCTATTTGACATAATCGAAAGTTCAAGTTCACTTTTATAAAATTGCTCTTACAGTCTGCAAAAAATAATAAGAGGGATCCAATTCGAAGATTAAGGAACAACGCAATCATTAACATTAATTGAAATAGATAATTAGATAATTTTGGCTTACACCATCCGTTATACATTAAACGCGCAGGCGAAAACGTATTCTGCACTTGCGCACACGCATATGCGCAGTAGTCAAGGTCTTACGCGCACGCGTAAAACGCATGTGCCAACGTGGCGCATGCGCAGAAATTTTTAGCTTTGAGGTCCGAATTATGGGTGTCCGAATTAATGACTTTTGACTGTGTATATATATATATATATATATAGACCTGTCACGTCTTACACACATGATAGTTGTTAAAGTCCCAAATTCCACAGACACGTATAATGACTCTGTGATGTGTTAATGCAAGGATGAAGATGATATGCCAGTTTTACATCATAATTAGGTTAGAAAAATATATTAGCTTAGCACATATGCAAAAATAACAAAAATAAACTTCACTCATAAGTTATTCAACATAATCAAAGAAGAATTAAAGGTGAAATTCCACAGTGCTAGCAAGTATGTTAGATCAAAAGTCAGCACACATGAACTGGGTCCCTTCAATGCTTCATTCATGGTTGCTAGAGAGGGACTACCCTGTCCAGTCACAAATTCACCCTTACTGTATGAGATATATATATATTGAAATAATGTACAGTGCACAGCTTATATCATTTTGAAAGAAAATTGGCCATGTATTGAAAATTTAGAATTGTTTTATCATTATACTATTCATTATTTAGAAGAATTTTATAACTAATATTGAAGATCAATAATTTGAAATTGGATCCATAACGGTACAGATGTGGAATTTACAATGAAGTGAATCATTTATTTATTTATACACATATATAGTGAAAACAGGTGAAAGAATTCAAGATCACCTGTGGTTGGTTAGTTGGGTGTTGCGCTTTTTCCCAGTCACCTTTCAAGTCGAGAAGAATGTAAGGAATTCAGTGGCGTAAGTTGTATAGCAAGTCCAGCTAGCACTGGAAGATCGGTGGTTCGAATCCAAGCAAAGGCAGTGTTGATTTAGCCTTAATGTATTTGATTTTGTCATTATATAAGAAAGTGTCATTCCTAAAAAATATTACAATTAATCACTTCTAGTGTGTGTGTTTGTTCTTCAAAATATTGGTCATTTGTCAGTGTTTGCCATGAAAGGTTTCACTACAAACCATGTGTTAAATTCATATAACATACTTAAATAAATAATATTTAACTTAACGAATCCTTAATGTGTGAATTAGTTTATGTTTGAGATATTTCTTTTAGAAAAATAACTGTCAGAATACCCAAATCTTTAATATGCTTTGCCTTGAAATCATAAAAACATAGCTACATTATTTCTGTTCCTGTTACAATTAAAGGCTGATATAACATAACAATGTGTTGAATAGTGGGTGCATTGTAAGAATATTATGTGTGTGACTGAAATGGTTTGATTATGACATTACTACACACTGAGTGATATTTAGTGTGGTTATTAACCCCTTAACTGCCGCGGGCGTATATATACGCCTTGCTCAGCCGATGCGTTAACTGCCCCAGGCGTATATATACGTCCTTCCAAACTGCTATCATTTGCTTTGCGCTGCTACACCTAAAATTATTCGCAAAGTTAACGCATCGGCTGCGCATCTGGGGCAGTTAACGCATCGGCTGAGCAAGGCGTATATATACGCCCGCGGCAGTTAAGGGGTTAATGTGAAATTTTTATTATTTTTATATTGCACATTTTTAATTTTAAAATTTCACATTTAATTTTGAATTTTTATATTTTAATATAGCGAACCCATTAGGAAAAAGGGAAAGAAAGAGAAAATTCAAAAGGACGCAAGTTCTTCTAACACCGTATCTCCAGTTGTTGAAGAAAAAACTGAGAAAGTATGTTGCATCATTTTTGGTGCTTTAATTAACTGAATATATTTGCTTATTTTTTTAAATATTTCATGGAGAATTTAATTACAGTAATCTCCCTGTTTAAAGTACATTAATCATTACAAAAATGTGTGAGGGTGCTCACACATTTTTGTATAATTTTACAAAGATTTATGTATAAACAAACCTTAGAATTTTATTTTCTAATATGTTCAGTCTGATGGCCCTTTTGTTGAACTATAATATTACATCTTGATTTCCAAGGTAAAAGTCATTTTATTAAAACATTATGGTTGATTTTATTCCACTCTTCCTTCTCAAACTTCCAGAGTCCATCCAATGTTTTAGGATGCTGCTTTTAGAAAAACTTTCCTTGTTTTCTCTGAACCAACATATTACCATATATACCCGCGTATAAGTCGATCCCCCATTTCCGAAATCGATCGAGAAACTTCGAAAAAATTTTTCTTTAAGTACTACATTTATTCAAAATCATCTGAGGAAAAAAAAAAAAAAGTAAATATACGATAAAAAATACCTTGGTAAATAAACAAGATCAAAGTCCTTCAACGTCCGATTCGTGGTCAGATTCACCAAACATTTCATAGAACTCGTAGCAGAATAGAACACAGCAAAAGCATCGCCAACATATCCAAAACGCAGGATAATTGGGGGAAAATGATCGTATATAGTAAACTTCTAGAATTTGTTCCGGAAAAGATTCGCATACGTAAAAACTATCTGTATTTCCCCTTTTTAAAAGTTAAAAGAAATATTCAAAACTGTTCAGTTATTGTGTGGGCTATTTTTTTAAATTTTGACGCGTTAACAAAAGTGTTTCATGAATGAACAATAACTATTATAAAGACTTATACGTACGTAAAAACTATCTGCATTTCTCTTTTCTTGGCGTGTTGGCGAAACTTTTTTATTGCTCAATATTGATCGGTTGTTCGGGGGCCGAAAATTCTTTGGTTTAATCGAAACTTACTCTAGTTAAAGTATGAAACTCTGTGATTAGTTCGTCACAATTTAAGTCATGAAATTACTTCAAGTAAGTGACTTATGTGATAAGTCATCCAATTTGAGTGCGGGAAGAAAACAACTGCATTATATAAAGAAATTTTTGAACTTCCGATTCTTTTAATTTTTTATGGCCCTGCGTATAAGTCGACCTCCCCAATTTGAAGTCTTTTTTTGGTCCAAAATATCTCGACTTATACGCGGGTATATACGGTAAATCTTTTTCTGCTCTTTTTTGGTAGTAAATCAATCTTTTTCGATTGCAATCAAATCCAAGCCTCGTCAATTGTAACTATATATTTCCATTTTTCACCTGCCAAATAATTGTCATACAAGCAATCTGCACTTAGTCTTATGCTGAGAAATATGTTTTGGCATTAGGCGATGAACATCATGTTTTTTTTGTTTTGATTAGCTTTAAATCAGATTTTATAATTTTGTTCACATTTCCTACAAAGATGTTTAACGATTTTGCAATAGCTCTTTTGATGGGGGACTGAATTTTCCTTTAAAACATGAGATGCAACTTTAAATTTAATAAGTGTTGTACATATCTTTGTTTGGTATGCATTTTTTGCCTTTTTCCCCAGTCAGATGTAAATTTTGTCATTTCTTTCCTTTTGTATTAATTATGTCACTAATTTTACATGTAGAAATATTAAAACTATGCTTTTCACATCTTTTTTTAATAATTAAATAATCTCTTTGGACAGCATAAAAATATAGTCTTCGATACACTGTTTAGTTTTCAGCAACATTTTAAAGAAAAGAATATTTTTAATGCTACAGATGGTAATTAAACCTTTTTCCAATTTGATGCCAGTCATGTTTGTATTTTAAAATTAATATTTAAATTCATAGAGAAAATGTGTAAATACTTTCTGTACATTTAGTAAATCTTTTAAAATCACTGTTAAGTTTCTCAGATTGCAGGCTGCAATAATTTCCATGGTTGATAAAAATTTTCATTATATTTCTAATGATTATCTTTTATTTACTTTAAGGACTCAGTGAAAGAATAATATCTAAAAGCTTTCAAGCCATGCACATTCATATTCCTATTTAAAATTTGCATATCAAAAGGAAATTGGATAGCTGGTTTGCAGTATAAAGTTTATGTGGTAAAATGTTACTGTGCCTGTATTTTCATTTTTGTATGATTGTGATAATAAGGTGAATTTAGTGCATATTCATGTTCCTATTCAAAATCTGTGTAGATTTTACAATTTGATTTCAAAAAGAAATTAGATGGCTGGTTTGCAGTATCTTGCAATATAACATTTATTTGGTAAAATATTACTGTGCACGTATCTTCATTTTTGTATGATTGTGATAATAAGGTGCATTTGCTGTGGTATCTAGTTAAGTTGTATGTAATCCTGAGAAATTTCTGTTTTGTATATTTTGTGTACCTTACCTGTTCTAATTATTTTTTAGCCTTCCACATTGTGTGAAACCTGTAATACTACCTTCAAGTCAAGAAATAAACTTTTTGAACATCTTAAAGAAAGTGGACATGCTGTATATAAAAATGAAAATTCTGTTAATCGACACTCCTCCGGTGATGGACATAGTAAAAAGTTGCGAAGAAAAAAGTTATAACTCTTGCTTAATATAGTTTTTAATAATCCTGTATGATATTATTATTAATAAAGTATGTTAATTTATTGTGTTATCATTCCTTGAACTTTACTTAAATATGATGTTGTTCCAAATGCCCAGACACTTACAACTAAATGCATTCATTGATAATAACCAATACTCATCCATTATTTGTCTCACTGCTAAGAACATTGCTAGAGCTACACCACAGGAAGCAACTGATTTACAGCCATTAGAAAGTGAAAGTACCTTTTAAATTTTGATGAAGAACACTCCGAGTGAGGGACCTGAGGGTCTGTCACCCCTCTTCTCATATTATCCAACAATTCAAGAGGACTTGTGTCACATATTTTGCTCAAATCGAATGGCTTTGAATATTTAGTAGAGTTGCCTTCTTAGAGGAGAAGCAGGCTTGTATTGCCATTAGATGTTGGAAAAAATAAAGAAATTCCCATAGGGTCAGCCAGTTTCATTGATATTTAGTCTCAGGGCCAGTGCGGTTGTATCAGGCAGTGGATTTTAATTTGCGGAGGCACTGGAGGGCAGAATTTAGGAGCCACAGAATCGCACCAGGTGACAAAAAGCCTAACGCCGGTCCTGTTTAGAGCACAGGCAAAACTACTAGAGATCAGTGGATTTAATTCTTCAACTAGGGAAGAACCTTAACCATGAAGGAATTTTTTGCAGACATTTATTTATTTAGACATTTGCCGCACTAGCATTACTGGAGGGAAAAAAAAATAACATAAAAGGTACTTAAGTATTTGAACAATCCAGATTCCGTTATCGCACAGGACCATAACAACACATAGTGGTTGCTGAACAGAATTTCGTTATTAGTTTTTGGCTTGAGCATCTGAACTAGTTGTCGATATTGAAATTTCTGGTGAAATTTTCCAAGTAGGAATTCAAGCTCGGAATATGACCAAGATGCTCCAGCATTCGTGGCCAACCTGGCAGGAACATCTTAGTCATTGTATGGGAATTAAAGATACAGAAGTATCTCATACTCATCAAGAAGGATCTCTGATCCGCATCGAGTAGAGTATAATCTAAGGCAAGATTGTAAAAGTCTTTGTCTATCCAAGTTGCTGAAAAAATAAAAACAGAAATACGCTTAGAATTTGATTATAGCGTCTGGTAGGGAACATCTTTTGATATTTCAATGAAGTCGTTTGAGTCTTGCCTTTGTTTCTTACTGGGAGAAATGGTGATAAGTTGTACTGTCTTGAAAAAGCTCTAGTGCAAGTTTCTGCTGTGCATTGGATGGCAGACTTATGCCTTTGGCTCTTTTTACGAAATTTCCCTTGCAGTTTAAGATGAAAACACTTTCTTCAATGTCGTTTCTCTGTTTTTCTTCACTTTTCAGATATCAATATACCTTTGCACAAAACGCACGAAAATTTAGTTTGATCATCTTTCATTTGATGGTACATCTGGAAAATATTTATCATTTAACTGGTATAGTATGGTTCCTGGGACTTAAAGCATCATGTTTTAAATAATAACTCTTTGGGAAATATCATTTATATCTCATTATACTCATTATTTTCATTGAAAATATGAGGTACATTTTATATTAAAATGAATTTAATATTTTCTGTGTACAAACGATAATATATTTAAAATATATTTGAGTAAATTATATTTTTATTTACGGATTCATATAACCCTCGTATACCATTTGTGTAAGAATTTTCATCATAGAATCAAAGTGAAATTTTTAAAGACAAACACACATTTTCTTATTTGAATCGGAAAAACTGTCAGGTGAAACAGTTCAAAATTTCAGAAACTGAAAAAAGAAATACAACAAGTGTTTCAGTGAAGCTTGAATGTTAAAAAGAGAAAATTAAAACAGGCAGTTTTGTGACATGCACACTTTCATGTTGCAGATTACTAAGAATTTTGGGCAAATTCGTAATCTGCCTATCTATTACCTTTTCTTTAATCTAATATTTTTCTATGACTTACCAATGGCTAAGTATTAACGCCATTAAATACTGCCATTTCGATTAAGTTCAAATACTGGCTAGTAAGCGTGCTGCATGTATCTATATATAACTTAAATATGAACTGCTTCATATGAAACTTTCATCCATGAATGCATCGTTTCCTTTAGGCAAATCGTTCTTGTATACTTTGCAGCATTCAATTAAATAAATTGTATTTCTTGGTGATAATATCTAAAAGTAAAAAAGCTCATTTAATCGAAGACAGGACAATATTTAAAAAAAATATATTCTACATGGCTTTGGCGTAGCACCATTGGAAAAGGAGCTTCTGATATTCCAGTTTTAAAGACAGAACATGAAAAGTGCAGCAAAATTACACTATAGTTGTGTGCATACTGACACCGATTCTGCGCATGCCTGATTAGCGCATCTTTGATTTGCTTTAATAATCTTATTAATTGTAACTGCAGGTTGCTCTTAACAATCAACGAGTATTTTTGTAAAACAAATGCATATTTTTGTTCTCATTGTTTTATATAAATCTTAAGATTCCGCAGTATTAGTTATCGATTTGTGTATTTTACTGATAGATCCTGATCTGAAACATTTAAGTTTTAAGGTCTTTCCTGAGTTTGTACGCAATATGTGACTTAACTTACTTGTCCTGTTTCCAATGTTGTCAAATGGTATTGAGTGAATGATCCATGTGGCAGATTACATGCCAGGCTTACCACTCAATGATTAAGAAATGCACAAAACATCGTCTCTGGCATATAAGCAACGTATTTCTTCTTTCATATATGTTACTGCATCAGCTAATGCTTTTTCATGCTCATACAGAGGCGAAGAGATCCCATGATTTAAATCCGCCAGTTTGTGTTTGCAGCTCTACTTAGTGGGTGTAACCAAGATATCTAACTGGCACTGATGTGACCTGCATCCTAGCATTTGCATAGTTTTGCGATTGAGGCACAGGTTCTTTTATGTGCGCTGATTCCATTCATGCCAGTGCATTTTCAGTGTGTAATCAGCTAATGCACTGAAAGCACTACATCACATATGAAAGCAATAATTTTTTTAATCTATAATATAAAGTAAATGCGAAATTATGGGAGATTTTGAAAACGTAAAATATGTATCGTTTTTGCACATGTAAATGTACTAATTTTTAAACATCACACAATTTTAGTATCTTCCCCGAATTAATATTTCAAAGTCATAAATTCAACCATTCATAAAAAATTAATAATACATCCTATAAACCTCAATGATCATCAAGGATGAAGGAAGTTAATTTAGAGTGCGTTAGGCTAGGCCTTTAACTCCACAGAGATAAAGCAATTACATCAGAAGAGGGGTTCATCTAATACGGGAAAAATTGGAAAATAAAATAAATAAAAGCTTTCCAGATAATGCCTTCCGCATGAGGAAAAAAAAAGGTTAAAACTCAAGAAGGTCTTTTTATTTAAATTTCGTGTCAAGATAAGGGCTAGAAACCAATTTTGATAGGGGCAGTCATCATTCATAAATTTAGAATAGAAATAAAAGGGGAAAAGATTTCCTTGATTCTTGATATCCACAATAAATAGAAATATCTTAAGTCACAAGCAGACGACCGGACAGAAGAGAGCTAGCGCGAGGTCAATAAACTTGAACTCGCACCCGCTCGGAGTAGCTGGGCGAAAAAGGCGGGGGAGGGGCGTTAGTTGAGTCTTAGAAGCAAGTCAGAAGAATCATCTTAGAGGGAGATTTTGGCCGCTAATCAATGCGACATTTAAAGACCTGATGGCAATCGATCCCTTGGGAGGGAACCACTTAAGCCCACTTTGTAACTTTATTACAACATCAAAACTCCATATGCTAAGTGAGCGTAACACAGTATGTTGTCATATCATGTAATGGCTTATAACAATTAGCTATTAGATTTCTTCATTTTTAGTGACATTTTTACTCAAATAATAAAGATTATGAAAAAAGGGGGGAAATGCTTAATTTCTTCTACAAAATAATAAAAACTAGACAACAGGCACGTTCCACATCATAAAATTACATGCTTTAATGCTCTTTTAATGTAAAAATAGACTTAAAAATTTTTAATTTAAATTACAAATGGCCAAACAGCTACATTATTTTGAACCACGTGTGATTCTTTGGATCTTTGGTATAGTAATCACCATTTATTAAACTCACTGGTTAATAAAATTAGTCGCTTATTACGTTCAAATTTTCAGAAGCCAAAGCAAATATATACTAATCAATTAAAAAAACATGCTGTTTATTAAATTCATATCCGCCGCTTATAAAACTCGGAAACTAAAGACTCTTTCTTCAGTGCCAGAACGTCTTACTAATTCCTCTCAAAGCTGTTTCTGCTTCATTAACTTATTGTAGACTGTGGCTTGTTTATCATTCAGATATGTAGAGCTTCAATAAAACGGGTTTTACGTATTTTTTTTTTTTTTTTTTTAACCCGCGGCTCCCTGTATTCACGAGGCTATGTTTTCAAAGCTCTTTGCCTGCACTGGAGGTATGAAATCCCAGCAGATGAATAGAATAAAACGAAAAATGTGTAACAAACGTAGTTAGTTAGATTCATGCCAAAACGCATAAAAAATGTAATTTCAGCTGAAGGATAACTAATGGAGCTCTGGATGCCCATTACTTTTTTTTTTTTTTTTTTTCTAAATCCCATATAAACGACTAGTTCAAAGTATTCGAATACTTATACGACCTCACTCACTTGCAAAGCACTCTTTATGTATATTATAATGTAGACATTTAAAATTTGTATACATTTAAAATGTAAAACTGTCGAAAGGAATTTGAGAGAGAAACGTATTGATTTAGGCATTAACGCATTAGAGGCGTGACGTCTTGGATAACTTTTAGGAAGATTGTTTTCGGACGTCACCACATTTACCACGTTTTCAGTTGTGGCATCATAGCTCAAATTTTGAGTTTCTCATTTTCTTAAAGAAATTAGGTAGTAAAATAAAAATGTTATTCTCTATCAGGCAGAAAGACGCAATACAAAGTTCGCAAAGTTTGCTTAGCAAAACCGTTGCCATGGGAACAAAGAAACTTTTCTGAAGATTGGGTTTGTTTGGTAATATCGACTTTT